CAAATTTGAGCTACAGAATGAAGTGTTCCGTGTCTGCAGTTTGCCAGTTCCCATAATCACAATGTCTTAGACTAAATCTTAGAGAAATAAGATAGATAGATCCAGGTAGTCATATTTGCATAAATGCATATGTATGGTTAGTATAATCTTACTCTGTATATGCCTAAATAATATAGATACATTGGGGATTTTATATACTTTTGCAAGTATTTGTTGTATTTCACAATAAAATCATTGTGAAATGTTCATGAATGCTGATACTGTAGCTCATTGAAATGGATGATGTCTCAATGATGCTTCCACAGTTGGAATGTGTTCTCTAAAGCTCATGCGTAGGAAACAGAATTTCCAAGGCCATAGTACTTGGAGATGGAGTCATCTCTAACAACCTCTTGTTTCACTGGAACTCTGCCCTTAGGAATAGATTAATGCCATGAAAGTGCAAAGTTCTGAAAATCCAAGAAGGCAATATGGAAAAACCCCAAATGAACCTGTGCGTGGCAATGAGTTACTGATAAAACACCACAGGTGAGAGCCATGAAAGAAATCATTGATTTCTTTCATATTAAAAACTTCTGCTCTATGACAGATAATAGTAAGAAAATGAGAAATTGAATCATAAGCTAGGGAAAAGTGCTGTAAAAGACACATTTGGCAATGAACTGTCACCCAAATATACAAAGATGGCTTAAAATTCAACAAGGAAATAATCCAATAAAAAGTAGGCTAACTGTCTTAAAATATATTATCAAGGATAGATACCAAATAACATTAAGGAAAGCTACCACATCATATGTCACCAGAGAAATCCAATTAAAATTAAAAGATACCACTAATAAACCTATTACAATAAGGAAAACAACAAAACTGGTTGTAAAGACATGAAACAACAAGGATTATTACAGTTCTGTCAGAAGGAAATGCAAAGTGGAAATGTATAAGCCACTTACAGAGACGGTTTGGTTTGTCAGTTTCTTACATTCTTTTTTCACATGACCCAGTAATCCTAACCCTTAATATTTGTTCAGAGTAATTGAAACTGTTTGTCCTCACCAAAATCTGCACCAGGTTGTTTATAGCAGCTTTATTGCTAATTGTCAAAATTTGGGAGCAACCAATTGTCTTTCTGGAAGTAAATGAATAAATAAATGGTGGCCCATCTATCCAAAAGGGTGTTCTTCAGCACTTGAATATTAACTGTCAAACCATGAAGGCATGGTGAAAGTTACATGCTTGTTACTAAATGAAATAAATCAGTCCTAAAGGGTGCGCACTTCAGGAACCCAACTATCGGTGATCTGGACAAAGCAAACTGTGGAGAAATTAAAATGGTCAGTAGTTGCCAGGTTTGGGGATGAGAATGCAATGAACAGGTAGAGCACAGAGGATGGTAAGAGAGAAAATATTCTGTGTGACATCTACTTGTTGATACAGTCATTAAGCTTCTGTCAAAACCTCCATGACATGAAACCCCAAAGATGACGTTGCAGATGACCCACGGATGTTGAGTGACCGCAGTATGTGAGTGTGGGTTCACTGTCTGCAATAAGCAGGCCACTCTGGCTGAGAATTTTGATAATGGTGAAGGCCACAGGTTTATCTTTTTGGGTTTATATGAAAAATTTCTGTACCCTCCTCTCATTTTTGCTGCAACCTGAAAAATTAAGTCATTAAAAACAGGTAGAGGGAGAGGATATAGCTTAGCGGCCCAGGCACCTACCTGGCAAGTGTAAGATCCTGAGGTTGATTCCTGGGACCAAAAAAAGAAGGTAGAGATTTGTAAATATGGGCTGGATGGAACAAAGGTAGGTGTTAAAGAACAGAGACAATAACCTTAAAACTTGACAGACAGATGAATGGGCAATTCAGAGAAAAAAACGTAAATGTTTAAATATTTTAAATGATATGCATATTTTAATATTTTAAATGCAACTCCATCTGATTCATAATTAAATAAATTACCTTGGAGAAAGAGAAAGCCTAACTTAAAAAGCAGTGGTTGAAAATCTGGATAATACGAAATTTCTGGGGTAAACACTTATCCTACCAAATCACCACTGCTGCTAGTATAAGTTTGTGAAATTTATCTATGAGACAAATCTTTGTGACATACATGGCTATTATATGTTTTCTCTTGAGTAATATTTAATTTTCCAACATGAGTAATTGACTATTCTAGTTTTTCATTTTATTTACTTTTTTATCTCTTAATTTTTATTTTTTAAAAATTTTTTTATTTTCTGCGATCAGGAACCAAACTCAGGACCTTGTGCTTGCCAGGCAGGTGCTTATGCCACTGAACAATATCCCTGGCCACTATTTCTTAATTGTTAATGTGCAGTTCCTCAATTACCATAGTTTCAAATTGTCTGCAGGGCTTGGGAAGTGATCATTGTCTGTTTTTTTCAGTCTGTGCTGGAGAGAATGGGCTAATAGTTCTCATCTTTTCATTCTCTCCCTTCCAAACCCCTTCAAAACACAGACACATAGACAAACACACAAGATATTTATATACATATATATGTATGTATATATGCATGCATATGTATGTGTATATGCATATGTGTATATATGTATGTGTATATGTTTATATATGCATGTGTGTATAAGTATGTATGTGTATAATTACATATGAATACATGTGTATTTGCCTAATACTTATTTGATTTATTATGAAACTCCTCAGAGATTTACTGGGGACTTGACCCAGCTCCAGGGATGTATGTCTATGCACAGGACCCTATAATGGTCTATGGATAAGATTAGTATTAGTCGGGCAAATTCAGCTAGGGAATTTTTTTTTGTTTTTTTGTTTTGTTTTTTCTCCGGTACCAGGAACCGAACTCACGACCTTGTGCTTGCCAGGCAGGCACTTTTGCCGCTGAGCTAAATCCCCAGCCCCTTAGTCGGGCAAATTCAGAGTATAAAAATAAAGTGTTTTCATTCAAGGGGTTATAATAAGGTCAACGTGGAGTGAGTTCTGTTGTCAGAGAGTAGTCATTTAATGTTTTCTTTTTCATAAATGGATATGTAAATGTTTTTTAAAAAATTGAGTTGCATCATTGTGTTAATGTATGGTCTGCTGTATTATAATTCTTGAGTTTAAATAGTTTGTCTCTAAAATTGAATTTTTAAGGGCTGGCAGTTTAGCTCAGTGGCACAGTGCCTGCCTGGCAAGCACAAGGTCATGAGTTCGATTCCTGGTACCAGAAAAAAACCAATAAAATAAATAAAATTGAATTTTTATACTATTATTTTAGATGTCAGATTAGATGTGAACTCTAGTAAAAGTAAGGTCTAGATAGTATGGGTATGTTGCAAATTACTTCTGCTTTAAATGTGAGAAACTCTAAGCTACTAAACCTATGTAATTTTATAATATCCCTTCTTTATATTTGAAATACCAGTAAACATGAGTATATAAAAAATTTAATGGAAAATGTATGTACATGAATGAATGTACAGGAATGAATTGAGAGAAATTCAGTTGATGACAAAGGTAAGAAACCTCAAGGTATAATTGAAGAAAATAAAGTTTTCATGACTTGAGAAAAATAGCATTTTTACTGAATAAAAAAATAGCAAGTTAATGTTTTATAGATAAATATAGTCAACAAATGTGACTCCAACATCCTGGTTTTCAGGCATTTTTAAATTATTTTTTTCATGTGTTTAAGGCACCTTGAATATGAGGAAAATGAAACAGACTTTTTAACATTTATGTTGGAAAATAAAAGTGCAAGAATTATCAAAAATTCTTGAAGAAAAGGAGTGATTTACTCTAGCAAAATAAAATGACCATGAAACTCCATTCTGAGATTGGCACAAAAGGAAAGACGCAGGTCAACGGATCTGAATAGAGCATGTGTAAGCATATTTTAGCGAAAGAGTGAATCTGATATATTAAAAAGGTTCAGATTATCTGTTTCCTGTGGGGAGATCCTCCCCAAGTGCTTCTAAGAGCTGCTATTACTGATCACCACAGGAAAGCGGAGGGTGCGATGCCTGTAAACTTCAGTGTGGAAACGGAGCAGTGTTTAGAACATGGAAGGAGCTCTTGCACAAGTTTATCACACGGCTGACACCTTTAGAAAGGAGGTCCAAGTGTCATTTACTCACAACAAACAAACCTACATCAAAGTAATTCATTAAATATTATAAATATGACTTTTTCTAAAAAAATATGAAACATATAGAAAGGCTAAGACCTTCATTATTTTAAACAATGCTTTCAACATAATACTTATTCGATTTATTATGAAACTCTCCACTGAGATTTCCTGGGGACTCAGCCCAGCTCCACTCTCTCTAAACAAGCGTATGGTGAATGGCTTAAATGAACAGTGGTGTGGTTTGGGGCTCCAAGAAGGCCAAAGCACTTTGGGAGTAGAAACAAGGACTTCACAGGAGGTCTGTGTTTCCTTGGCTTTCAGACAAAGGGCAGGGACACTGAAGCAAGCGTGGAATGCAGCAGGAACTTGGGAAGTTACTTCAAAGAATTCTCCAAGCAGTAAATTTTGCCAGTTAAGAAAACTGTTTGATCTCTAAGGTTGGCGCTTCCTTGCTCTAGAATACGGAGTGTCAACAGCTCCTGTCCTCTGCTGTGGTTTATCTTGACTTCAGATCACTGTTTTCCAACACAGCCAGACGTCCCTTCACGGTCAGCAATTTAACCCTTACATAGCCTGCTCTCCAACAGAGATTTGCATCCAAAGAGTGAAATAGATCAATGGAAATAATAAACTCTGTGGAAATACTTTATAATGGAAAGACAGAACTTATTAAAAATGATGATTATTTTAGGAGAACATAGGCCTTATTTACACACACATAAAAAGCTTATATCTCTGTGGGTGAGACCACCGTATAGCTTTGTCAGAGCCTTGAGCTGTGGGTCGTCTTATGGATGCAGCTGATGAGGAGTGCATACATCTTTACTATGGAGACAGAACTCTTCCTTGCTAGGGGCGCGAAGAAGACGAAGGGAGCTCATAGCTCAAAGTTTTCCACACAGCAGGCACCTTCAGAAAGCAGCTATGACTACAATTTATTCATAGCAAGCAAAGCTCCATCAAACTAATCTACCAAATAGCACAAAAACAGCAGGATGTTTTAAAAAGAAACATGGTGAGGCCTCCCTTATCGTAAAATGTCTATAACATAATATTTGTGCAATAAATACTTATTGGACGAATTGACACAAAAATCCAAGAATTTATACAGATTTTTACGGGTTTGTCAGTCATTTGCTTCTAAAATCCTTCAGCCAGTTTTTTTTTCTTCAGCTGGATCTCATGGCCCAAAGGGCAATTTTTACTGTGCTTATTCCTCCTTTGCAACTTGCCACCAAAAGTCTGTCTCTAACTTCAAGCGACAGCTGCATGGATGTGGACGGCTGTAGCTACTGCTGACTGTAGATACAGTTGTGAGAGGGGCCGGAGAGGCGCTTGCTCCAGAGTATCTCCCTCCAGCACTACACCGCGCTGCCTCAGGCCTAGCTACGCCTTGTGGGAGGTGGTGACTTTCGGCCTTGCTCCCTACAGCAGGTGGTTGCCTCAGGCAGAACTGCGGGTTTTTGTGCTCCTCCCTCCAGCAGTCCTTTCACAGTGGGAGACTTCAGGGCACAGAAGTACACCGCTGAGTCCTCCAGTCGTGAGGCGGAGATGACAAGCTGGATGGATTTGCTCGCTCTCTGGAAATGCACGGAGTAGCGACCTCCTGCTGCATTTTGTAGCTCCAAAGAGCTTTGGTGAATGAGGAAGACCATCTCCTCCCTGCGGGACTGCTTGTACCAGAAGAGATCGTAGTTTGTAGCACCGCTGTCATGGGTGCAGGGCAGGATCACAGCCTCCGTTTCCTGCACTGACACCGCTGACTGGGCTTGAGTTACCTTCTGGGCAATACTGGATCCTGAAGGAAGAAAAGAATCAGAGAGTTTAGCGATGTGCAGAAGGAACAGCCTTGCATTTCACACCCTGCCATCGCTTTTTCCCCGTGTTCGCTCTAAGGCGCCTCCGGTGCGCCCGTCCTTATACCACAGAGGAGGCCCAGTCCCTCTGGAGCTTCGTACCCAGCCATGTTGAAGCCATGACCACCTTCAGCAACCCAGAGAGAGCCATGTCTGCATTTATCAGCTGCAAGGATGTCTGTCTTTCGTCTTCCAATTCCGTGCTCTGCGCTGTGAAGTGAGCCCAGAGGCGGCGGGGGAGGGAGGAATTACTGAGCACGGTGGTGCCTGTTCTAAAACAGGAAACAGAAGTTCCCCAGTGAAAGAGGTGGGCGTGGTGATGTCACACGGCTCTGTGTCCTGGCTGACAGTCTCAAGCAACCTGAGCCTCTTTCTAAATCAACCCATTCTAACATGCTAATATTAGCGTAGTAGCCTTTCAATCTGAAAATATACAGGTATATTGAAAGGAAAATTCATCAGCGCAACTGCTATCCTTAGTCACTGCATCTGTGGCGGGCCTAGGAGGAGCGCCCTTAAAGACACATGCACAATGGGTTATGCAGACAACGTAAGATGCAATAACCGTGTGTCCTCCTGCAGATGGATGGTATTTAGTCTAAAGCAGAAATCACTGCATCGGCAGAAGGCAAAGTTGGTTGAACTCATCGCTGCAGCTCTTTTGACTTAGCTGCTGGTATGAAAATATATCTCTCATTTCCAGTGTGTGATCAGTTATCTCTCTTGGGCCAATCAGCACAGAAAACCTCATCCCTCTTCATAAAGTCTTCAGAATGTTAGATCTCTGGACTTGATCCCACATGGCTAAGCCTTTGAATTATCTGACACAATATTAGCAATACGGAGGGTAATGAACTATTAATTTTAAATTTTTGTATTTTACATATTTTAATATTTGAAATGTAGCATTTTATAATCAGAAAAAATAACAGAAGCCATTTTCTAGTAAGTCAGAAGCCCGTGTGTGAAAAGGACTGTGATACAAATACTGAGCCTTTCTCATGGGAGAGACGTGGGAATAGCAAACGTCACCTCATCTTTAAAGACTGCATTTCAGCACAAAGCCTTGCCAGTTTCCTTTAGAAGCCTACTGAGTGCCACTTTAGGACGACTGAACGAGGAGAGCTGCCTGGATTTGGGCACCAGGAGAGGGCACGGAAGTCGGGCCCTGACCCTCCCTCCTGTCTGTGAGTCTCTTCCTCCAGCTGTTCACATTCGCCAGGTACACAGCCATCAAAACACCACGGTGTACACTGTAAACATACACAGTAACGAACAAAACAGGAAAATAATCTGTTTGATTAGAGCAAGTCAGCTATCAAAATGTCCTAGGCTTTTCTGGTCACCGTCAGATTTTATGCTTTTATTGGCAACATATTAGTTTCCACTTAATAACAGAAACCCGGCCAGGCTGGCTGGCAGGTCTGTGCCCCAGGACGGAGGGTGGACTCTCAGGGGCGGGTCTGCTGACAGCCGGGAGGGTCTGGGACTGAGGAGAGCAGGCTGCGGGGACGCGCGAGGCTGGCGTCCGGACTGGGGCTGCAGGTGCGGGGAGAGGTGCTTGGTGTGCCGGTTCAATAAACGTGGAGTCTGGTTTTGCTTTCCGTCCACAGGTAAACGAATGTCAGCAAGGAGCGGAGGGCCTTTGCCAGCTTCCGGCTTCCCCCAGGGAAGCAGGACGAGCCCGCCCGAGCAAGTGCGGCTCACAGCAGAGCGGCCTCCTTCCTCCTGGACAGTCGGGTGGAGGAGCTGCTCCACCGCTCGCCCGGCTCCCCTCATGCAGGGTGGAAAAGGCAGGGAAAGCTGGAAGCTGCCGGGCATGATTCTCCAGGATTTATTTTCTCTGCAGTGATGACAGAAGCCTGGATAAAACTAGCTTCTCCCTGGACGCATAAAGGGCATCTGTTGTACGCTCTATGGGCCCCAAACCCTCAGCTCATAGTTCGGCTGCAGCTGCAAGAGCCCGAATAGGCGGGATGGGTGTCTTCGTTTTCCTTCCCAGGTAGGATCAAGTCAGCCTGGCATCTCCAGGCCGCAGAGTTACTTCTGCTATCCGGTTGTCCCGTGCTTTATTTAACGATTGATGTGATTTCTCATTTAGCAATTACAGTGGCTTCTCCTGTTCTCTACCCAGACAATAAGAGCTTCGGCCTTGATCCGTCCATTCAGAATTTGCTAAAATCAACCCTCCCTGTGGTCTGCACTAGTTGACTTGTGCTGCCACCTTGTGGTAAACTCGCTAACTACTGCACTCTGGTTAAAAGCTCATCTTTCACACTAAGGGCTCAGACATGTATAGCTGTATAGTTCTCTGATCAAAGATTAGACGCTCAGGCAGTACGAAGAGATCAAGGCTGATATTCACGCACACTACTGAGTCATTGTTAATACATTGGAAGGAGGTAAAAGTTATTTTTATTCAGCAACAGGCTGAATTTAAAATCAAGGAAACTTTCAAATTCTTTCTCATAAAAAGAAGAAAAACAAAACGAAACTTTTCAGCCAAATCTACCTTCAAGTTTTGTCTGTTACAGAGAAAAGAACTCTCCCTAAAAGGAATACGTAAGACAAAGATCTGAGTAAGAGAGAGAAACACTGAATATCCAAAGAGCATGTTGTCTCAGACTCTTGCTTCTCCGGGGCTGATCCTGCCGGTGACCTTACCCTTCTCGAACAACAGACAGTGCCGCAGTCCAACCATGCACGTCTGTAAAAGTGGGAGTTGAGAAAAGTAAAGACCGAATTTCCACGGCAAGGTGGTGGTGGGATAAATTCTTGAGTTATTAATGCACCAACCTAAAAGCCATTTGACCTGTAGGTTGGGCTAATTTGGATGAGAAATCTGGCCTACTTTAAGAAATCTTTTTCTGTTTTGATGTGGCTTTCATCCTGAAAAGTGCTAAAAGAAAAAGTAGAGATTCTCCAAAACCATTAGGCTACACATTTCGAAAAGGTAATCATACATGTTAATTTTTGTGTTTTCATTTTCTGCTATCAAAATGTCTTGTATCCTCTAAATTGCAATAAGTGATTTACAACTTCCCTGGAATATCCTCTAATGTACAGGTGAACTCTCTTGGCATGGACTCTTGCTGCCTTGACCACTGATTTTTCTCCTGACTATGTACACTACAAAGTTCCCCTAAAAATTGTGATGAAGTTCTTCATACCTATGAATTTCCAGGATATCTTCCCCTACCGAAAAGCATTTCTTATCTTCTGTAATTTCTTGATGCTTTCTGGCTATTTCCGTGCGAATAAACATAACTAAACATTGCGTGTGTCTGCTATCAGGACAGTATACCTAGGAAATTTCCCTGTGGAACTCATAGTGAAAAGTGGTTTCTGATGAACAAAGATGACCTCGTTTCCAGAAGTGAAAGCCCATTTACTCTTGTGATCTGTACTCGCTAGTACCATGGAGTTATGCATAATGAAGCCTTCATTCATATTCACGTCTTTCAAGATCTAAGGACAGTTGTGATGATCAGCCTCAACTCAGTATATATTCTTGTATGCACACTACACTTCAGGAAAGGAAAGCTTGCATAAATATTTTAATACTAAATCTACTGAGAGATCGTGGCATTAATACAAGTTACCTTTGGCCTCTATAATTACAAGAGGTGCTCAAAGTGGTGGCCATCGGCTTCCAGATATTTATTAGTACAGTAAACTGCTGCTCAGGAAACCAAGCTCATTGAAATTTCTGCACACACATTTTCAATTTTTTCTCTAAAGGCCAGCAGTGTAGTGGGTTTTTGGAAATATACATCCTCTAGGGTCCCCCATATGATGCTAACACCATCTGTTTAAAAAACATATTTTTCTTTTCTTGAAGTATGTATACATTTTTGGTGGACTCTGCTTATATATGTAAAGTATTTTCACATATTTAAGATTTCTCCGTTCTAAAGTTCTTCTATTTTCTCGCCACTGCCCATAAGATAGAATTCCCAAGTCATTTATGGGGTGAATTTTCCTATTGAAAACCAGGTTAAATAACCCTAAGTTATTGCAGGCTGATCAGGCCTGCAATCTCCCAAGTGAGTGGATGTTGAAGGCTTAAATAAATGAGACAATGTAACGATTTCAGGGCACCAGGAGGGACTAACTCTCTTACAGCTTCAGTATTCTCTGAGTTAGCCAAAGACTGCTCTGGGCAGCCCTTATTTATTTGGTTTTCAAACAAACAGAGACGATACTCAAGAAAACAGGGGAATCTCGCAGGACCTTGGGAGAATTTTCCAAAGTAGTAAATTATGTCAATCAGGAGAACTACCTTATCTTTAGGTTGGTATTTATTGTAGGAGTGTGGGGCCTGCAGCTGCAGTCTTCTTGTAATTAATTTGGGTTGGAGCCAAACATCTTCAGCTGTGGCCTTATCTTGTCGGACAAGGTGCCTAAGCTTCAGACAACTCACAAGTAAACATGGAAAACCAATTGGTTAATATTACATCCTGCTCAGAGCCACTTTGTAGTGGTCCCCAACATTGTCCCTTTCTTGAGGGTACATCCATTGAGTCAATATTTTTCCTTTGAGTAATGGCACCAGAAGCAGCTCTTTCTAGCACCTTCAGGGCTGTCAGTTACACAACGCTGTTTTCCCTAACCTCTCAATTTCAATGACAATTTTTGCTAAAAATGTATGAGTGACATTCACTATGGTGAAATCCTTCCTTCAAAAAACTGTCCATTTGGCACATGAATACATGCCAAGAAAGTCTAGAAATCATCTGGGTGTCGCAGATGACACCACCACTTTTTGGTCCGCTGAGTGGTGGACTGATTTGCTGGTAGAAGAACAGTGGTTCAGCCTGTGTCTCCTTCCAGCTCAAAGTGTCATTCATTTAGGTAAGTTGAAACTCTGGGTCCTGGCAGTCAGACTGCTTAGGCTAAGGCATTCCCAGAGCCAAAGGGTGGAGCTCAAAGCAGCTGGACTCCCTGAGGCATCTTCTCTTTGCTCAGCAATCTGGTCCTTCAGGAGTGTGGCAGGGAACAGATTCCTAAAGAAGAAACTAGGAAGTAGTTTCTTTCTAGTCCCATTCGTTTACTAGCTAATTGTTTTATACTTGAATTTTTCATAAAATTTTTGTCTTTGTAGAATCAAGTAACTAGAAGATTTCTGAAGATTCCTCCAGATCTAAAAATATTTCATACCATTTACAGAGAAAATGTTTATTAAGGGGTGGCTTTATGAAATATGGAGGCATATGAGAGTGG